TTGAAAACGCAAGGGAATCTCATCTGTTTTTATAGTACTTACAGCAATTTTCTTTGCCTACCTCTACTAAAAAAAAATTCAGTCAAAAGTCAAAAAAGTAAAAAAAATCAAAAAATTTTATTTTTTGCTTTTTTTTAAATTGTTCATTAACGATTTTTTGCATAAAATTTTTCTTTTACATTTTTTAAATAAGCCATTTCGATGGGAAATTCAATTCTCTAAATAATTTTTCCAATGAACTATAACGAAATGAGAGTTGCTTTCGCTGTACAGCAAGAATAAAAAGCTCTCTCAACGGTAATAATAAATAATTTTATGAAAACTAGTGTATAGAAAACTTGTATATGAAAAGACGTGTTGACGGAGTGATTGTTCGTTGGAGAGTGCCTTCTGTGTGGAGTCGGTCGTAGGTATATTGGTAGTTGCTGGTAGAAGTCCCTGCTCCTTGGCGCCACTCTGCAGGGGTCGCTTCCGGGAACCCCGTGGTGCGTCCGGCGGCGTTCTTGACGTTGTGCTTAAAAATGGGTCACTTGCGAACATGTGTACCCACAGAAATATTGCTTCGTTTTCGAGCTACAATTAAAAAATTGAAAGAGAAAATTTTCACTCCTATCTCCAATTTCCACTCTCTAATTTAATAACACTCCGCGGTTTTTTCATCTAAAATGACCATTTGAACGATTCATCCTATAATCAATAGCTAATTCTAGTATTACTAACTACTACTTTTGCATTCGTGAATAAGTTCTTTTGCAAGCGATAGCGAGAAAAAATCATTCGAGAATACAAAAGAATTTCGCAATCGGGTATGCCACAATTCAAAAATTATTAAAAATGTGAAGAAAAATTTTTGACAATAATTTAAAATTAAAATTTATTTATTTGACACGTTTATATTCATCTACAATTTACTGCACATATTTTAATATCAAATATTCTTTGATTTCCTGTTAAATTAATTGATACTTAAATTGATTACTATTATTAATGACTATTATGTGTATGATTTTGTTGACAATAATAATTAAACTGATGAACTGACTCTATCATCTAAGTACACCTAATTTCATTGATTTTTGTAGTGGAGGTAATAGTCTTTTATATCCTGGATGCAAAATACTTTTACGTTCTGTAGACGAAAAAAACTGTTGTTTTGACACTTAATAAATATGCGAAAGTCAACTTTTAATGACTGTTTTCGAAAATAGTGGTCAACCACTAATAAATATCATAAAAAAATCAACTTTTATTGACAGTTTTTGAAAAAACATATTTTTCGAAAATGTGATTTGTTTCACAGAAATAATTAACAGTTTGGAAAAAGACCAAGAAATTAAAGTTCTTACTTAAATTTACCACCGAGAGTATCGTGATCTTCGTTATTTTTAATTTTTAGGTAAAATTGTTTAATTTTTAGTGGAAATTCCGTTACCTACAGTGTGACTTACACCAATAACGCAAGATTTTTTTTTTGGAATGCACTATTGGACTGATCGTTTTTTTCATATATTAGTAGCCTTCCACATGTACTTGTTGAACCGTTTTCGACCTTTTTTAGCCGATTTTTCGAAAAATCACTATAGAGATCTTTTTAATTAAAAATTTGATTACGTACCCTGAAACAACATCTGCAATATCTCAAATTTTATCAATTTGTAATACATTTTTTATATGGTCATAAAGTTTTAACTTGTTTCAGTTTAAAAATTAATGATAATGCTGACTACAACTTGTAAATAATTATAAATGTTTTTATAATTTTAAAAAGCAAAATTTTTACAATTTTAGGCCTGTAAGTACAAAAACCATTGGTATGGAAATTTTGCATTTTTTTCTGGTTCCTTCTAGCAAAATGCATAATTTCTAGGCAAATTATTTTATGGACTTCTCAATATATTTTTAAATGATTTTTTTTCGTTCTTAATTTGTCCCATTACAACCTTGCATTTTAATTACAAAAGTAGTTATGAAAACTTAAAAGTGTATGAATGAAAAAAAATATATTTAGATACGGTTAAGGCCAAATAAGTAGAGCCGGCCCTATGCTTAGAGTACTTTCTAGGGACTGCGTATGTGCACTTCATATGAATAATTTAAAATAGTAGCAGTTCAATAATACAATTCCTTTCATTGGGTCATTTTCTGAAGGAGTGACTGAGAAATGTATAACATTTTTTTATAAAATCTGTTTGATATAAATTCGTACAGATATGCAGCGAGTGTACCATAATAAGCATAAAACGACTTATTTATTTGGAACAATTTTAGTTTTTTCTCTGTATTTTCACTTGCGGAAAAAAACAAAAATTCGCAATTTACCCTTTCGCCAAAATCATCGTTCAAAGATTATTTTTATTACACTACAACTATACACCAAATCAAATATACGAGTTACCACGCCACGCACTTATATTAGTTAATGCTTAAAAGTAATCATAATCAAAATTGTTAAAACTTATTGACCTCTGGAATCGTTACCGACTTACGTACCTACTACAGAAAAAGAGGTACATTTTTCGCCATTTTTTACAGAAAACAGAAAAATTGCTAATTTAGTTTTAGGTTATTAGTTCTACTATAGTTTTCACTACAGGAACGTGAGTCTTTCATTGCTTAAGTTTCAAGCAAAAGTATTAGCCTACAAATGTTTAAGTGACATCATTTTATTTTTCTGAATTTTGACATTTCACTGTGCGAATAAACATACTGAACTGGCTGTGAGATAATGGCTTGTTTACACGGGGACAGTCAACTAAATTTTAAGTCACTTGAACCTATTTGAACAGCGCATATGTGGTAAGTAACAATTTATGGAGCAAGTAAAAATTTAGTACACTGGAATAGAATTTATTCTATTTTTTCGTGCAAGTTGACGACTTGCACCGAACTTTTCCCTCCTGCTGATCCACTTTCGCTCCCCAAAGTCGTTTAGGTCTATTTTTCTCTTCATATATTTATTCATTTATTTCTGCTAATATAATATTTAGGATATCGCGTAGTATGCCATTAAATTCTTCTACAAACTGCTGCCTCACGTTCATCTCATCAGGTTTACAAATATATAAACTGCACTAGAACTTACCAACAACTAAACTTAGAACTTACCAGTGCGAATAGCACTTGCAGAAAAAGCAGTAACTTAAAATTTAGTTACCACTTACCTACTGTCCCCGTGTAAACAAGCCTTAACTGCACATTTTTACGTACAGCGATTTTGTGTAAACACTCGCCGAGCTATCGATAGGGTCAGAGTCTTAAGATTAATGTCGTAAAAATATTTACATAATTTGCAAAACATATTTCTGCTAATTGCGTTTTTATTTTTTACTTATAAAGTCAATAAATAGTGAATTACGTTTTTTCAAGTCTTTACATATGTATTGACAGGTGCAAAATTAGTAATTTCGTTAGATAGATACATAATTCTTTAGTGTCTTGCTCTGCGGTCTAGATGGCAGTGCCAACACGGGCAATAGTGGAGACAAAACGCTTAAGCGTAAATCTACAATATAATGGGTTTAAATCTAAGGAAACCTCACAGCAAATATGCCACTGTATTGATGAATCGATTATGTATTTATCTTAACAGTCACCATAATCATTCAAACCTCTTTTTCTGCAAAAAACGACCAAAAAATTAAAAATATTGAAATAAGTGTCAAATATTTTAAGCAAATCTTCTGAAAAAAAAATATGAAAACGGGAATTTAAATCTGATTATTATAATCTAAATTAGTTCAGAAAAAAAAATTTGTTTAGAAATTCCACCCTTTACTTATGGTCAAAAACTCAGACCTGTATCTCCAATATAAACAGAACCAGCTAAGCTATCGATAGAGTCAGAGGTTCTAAAAATGTTTATTCGTATTACTGTTTAAGTCAGCAAGCATAAAAAAACTCTATTTGCAAAAAAAATTCTTCTACCAATCGATTTTTGTACGACGATTTATTTGCTCTTCATATATCTTCCCAAAGTTTATAAACATTCTGTATTTGCAGTCGACAAAGATTCGACATATATTTTTTCACCGATTAATAAAATAATGGCCGTCTCTTTTACTTTCTTTTGAACAGTATAATTTGCTTCCCCAAAATTTTGACAGAATTTCACCGAAAGAATAAAAAAACTAAAAGTACATACATTACAATTTCTTTTTTTTTGTTTGTTTTTTCTACGACTTCTTCATTGTAATCGCACATGTCGACATTTTTTCAGCTGTGTTCATGATCTAGTTGGCTAATTTTGAATACCTTCACATTTCAAAAACTAAGACAAGTTATGGATAATTTAGTATGAAAGTAAATTTGTAAAACTATTCTACTTTTTCGTTCATTTCCTCACCGCTAGATGGCCACAAAATATTTAACGTTTCTGTGCAGTACTGAGTTTTATTTGGATGCTTTGACAAATCATCACAAAATGTAAGTATAATATACCTTGAAAAGAATCGTAAAAGTTGAAGAGTTAAACTTGGTTCAATTCCTTGAAAAGTCATTTTTGATTTGACCTATTTTTACAAACAAAAAAAACACTTACTTTACAAAAAAAAAGAAGTTGCCGAAAATAAAGTACCATGTACTTTCACCCCAATAATAATAGAGTGAATACCATATGACACTTCTAATTATGGAGACAGAGAGACAGGAAGAGAACAAAAAAAATTTAAACTATCAAACAAAATTGAAAAAGAAACGTAATTTGTAATTTTGCAAATGAAAACAAATTGGTTTTAGAAATGCCTGTTATATAGTGATGCGTATTTTTAATTTGTCTTTTTTTTTCAGTGTGAAATTTTTGGCAAAGCAAAAATATTTTATTAAAAAAACCCTGGTTGATCCTTTAGTTAAAGGTTTATTTAACTGTTATTTTTTTCACAGTTGACAAAATCCCCAAACAAAAACAGTGGGAAAACATAAAACGACTGAGGGCCAAATCAAAAACTAAATTAGCTATTTTTGACATAAAAAAAATGGGTTTATACGTAGACGAATATACTCACCCCCACTGAGGATAGCGAGACACTCACCCAGTACATTCGTAACTATAAACAAAACAGCGACCAGGAACTCCATCGTATCTATACAAAGTACCTATCAAATACACATAATCACACCTTAATTATAATTCTGTATCGGTATAGTCCGGGCATAATAATTTTCCGCGAAAAGTTCGTCGCGATAAAAAATCAGCGCGATATCGAGTTGGCGGGAAACGAGAGAGGCAAGACAGCAGACACCACGCGAAGCTCAGCTTTCGCGATTCAGACTGTCGGTGGTTGGCCAACCCCAAAGCCCGCTGCGATCCGACTAGCCGTAGGACTCGTGAAACAGTTGCCCACTTCACACTTTGTGGCCGCACCGAGCGATTTGCATGCGATGGCCCTCCTTGCCGCCAAGCTTGCGGCCGTCGAGGTATGCGGGGGTCCACGCACGCCGCCGTATACAGTGCGTCGCGACGGTAAGTTGACTCACCCCCTAGGTGGCTTTCTGCCACAGTTTAATATAAATCAGTACGATCATAGAACGATGGCTTAAAGACCGCACAATGAGGATATTGCCTTTTAAAAATGTTAAAATTCCGAGCAAGGCGTTATACAGGTGTTTTTAAATGAAGTAGCAAAAATGGTACCAGGGAATGTAGGGTCAAAAATAAGAGTGTCAATTTATTAATATGATAAATAAAAATGTGTTTGTTATGACATCCGCCTACTTTATTTTTACAAATTTTGGCAATTACCCCTTTAGTGAACGCATCTAATTTTTTTTACTAGAAAACTATCGGTTTTATCAAAAAAATACAAGAGGTAAAAAAGTGCGTAATAAACCTGCTTTCCTACAGTGGTTTGGTCTTCAAGTGAGGAGAAAAACTCTAAGTAGTATGGAAAACTTTATTCTACAAATTTCGCTGGTAACACGAGACACAACCGACCAGGAACTAGGCTTCAAGACTTCTCCCTGGTGCCTTGAAATGTTTTTGGTTTTTATCCTTGTTCCCAGGTACCCACTTTTCTTACCCTATCCTAATTAACACTTATCCGGGTCATTACCTAGGTACTCGGTTTGTGCTTATGTACCCTAATAAACAATAAACAATATTTATGTTTACAGCCTACTTATTCTAATCTCATTTGCTAAATACATTTATTTGGGATATTCTCGGATAATTCAAAGTATAATTTATATGGCTGGTAAATTCCCAGAAAGCAAAATATATTTATTGGGGCAGGTACTAAATGTAATTGTAGCGTACCGCTACATTCCCAATAAATATTTTTAAATAAATAATTTGCTTCATATAAAAAATTTCTAATAAAATATTGTAATGGGGTTGATTGTTTCACTCCTTTATAAAATACGCCAATGATCGAACAAATACTGAAAAGTTGTCTCTTTATTAGTAGGATGTTCATACCAAGTTTCGTGTCTTTAGCATTCCTCATGTTAAAGAAAAAATTAAAATGTGAATTTCAATCCCCTTCTTTAAGAAGGTATATCGCCTCAGGTACATTCACTGGTACCATTTTCGCTACTTCACTTAAAAACACCCTGTACATACACCCGTTTGTTTACTTCAAAAATTGTCAAAGCCCCTGTTGTGTGCATTTTGTTTATTCTTTATAGGAGGTCAAAATTGCGAAATTCATTTTGCAATATTTTTGTTTACTTTATAAGCCAATCATGTTTTAACCTTCTTTTTTCGGCTATATCGCTCTTTTTTCTGTAAAAGATCTATTCACTGGTTTTCTGCCTAATATCAGGTAATAAAGGTACTTAATTGATTAAATTTTTAAAAACGAATATTGTAAATCCGATCTCGGATTCGTGATCAGTGACCCCGAAAACCCCCGTATACCAAATTTGGCGCGAATGTGTTATTTTTTGAAAATTTGGTCGGCCATCTTAGATCCGCCATCTTGAATTTTGCAAAATTGACCTCGGATCCGTGATCGACCCCGAAAACCCCCGTATACCAAATTAGGCGGGAATTTGTTATTTTTTGAAAATTCGTGATATATGACCTTAATTGACTCGTTTTTTTGAGGTTAGAAAAAGGACCGTCAATTTTTGACCGTAGATTCACGTTCGGCGGGGTCTTAAATGAACATTTGAATATAGAAAAAACATTTTTAAAAATTTTTCCTAGCACTTTCTCGTGAATTTTTGCTATTTTTGACCAATTTTTTGAGGTTAGTAAGTTCATGTGATGTAATAGCTCAATTCTGACACCGGATTCGTGATCAGGACGCAAAAATACTACGGATAACATACACAGGGTGATTCCGAACTTATCCAAAAAAAAAATTCTGGATGTACAGGGGACCCTTACAAATAAAATTTTGTAAAGAAAAAAGCAAAAAGAGCAGTTCGAAAATGATTTAAAAATACACTTCTGCATGGCACTGGAATCTGGTCCACTGTAATACCTGACCTCGCACAATGCGACCGGCATGACGGTGTGATAACAACGGACAAAAAACTTTCATAAGGAAAGAAATAAATAGAATTTTATAGCACCTATTTTATATCGGCAAATTCAACTGCATTTGCCTTTATCGTTATTATTAATTGATAAAATTAATTTGTGTTTTTAAATAATAAAATCATTTGGCATACTCGATGTTACAACAATTGTTCAAAATTTTATCCACTAAAACGTGTATACAGTGCGTCGCGACGGTACGGACATTTGGGTCCGTCTTACTCCGTTTCCACGAACTAACACAAATGATATCTTGCTTCACCATAACACAAATGCTTCACCATAATACAAATGTTACCTTGCTTCACCATAAATTAAAACGATATCCATCAACTTCGATTTGCTATACACGCCAACCATTTTTGACACTAAATACTAAAAAATTTTTTTACGATATTGATTCCATTTCTCATGCCGCACCTATTCCCAAATTTTTTTGGATAAGTTGTGAATCACCCTGTATATGTAGCATGAAAAGTACAGACAACTTTTTTCGCGTGTGTTGCTGTGTAATCGTACAGGAAATAAAAAAAAAAACAAATTGAAACTGAGGCATCAGGCTATAAATGACCCTGGCATTGTTTAAGCCAGAAAAAAATGTTCTGAGCCCATGGGCAATTTTGAAAAAAAAAATGTAAAATTTTTGCCTTGCATTATTTCTTCTGATTGCGTCAAGAGAGATGCACAAAAAATGTTTGTCATCTCAAGATTCAAAAATAGAATCTTGCAACGAGCTTCTTTGTTTTCTCGATACGACCATTATTCACGAAGTTGCAGCCTTCCAAAAATCAAAAAAAAAAAATTGGAAATTTTTCTGCTCCATTAATTTTTTTGCTGAGTTTATAACACTATAGGTCAATGTTCATTTTAATGTCTATAAATAACTTTTAGATTTTAATTCTCATAATCAGTTGAATAAATTACATCAAGAATCAAATTTCCCAATTTATCTGCAATTTATTTTATCTTAAAATTTAATTGGTACGTGATGAAAGGATTTTTTTTGTTTTTTTGCTATGTAATTTTTGTTATAGCTACAATTATTGTGTAAATTTAAATTAATTTAAGGTTAAGTTGAAAAGCAGCCTTTGGCTGATACTTCACCTTTTCATTGTACACTTCACTGTCAATGAATAAATGACCATTCTATTATTATTATTATTCCATTCTACATACAACAAAAAAAACCTCCTATACTAATGTTATAGAGCAAATTAATGAGATTGTGTACTTGTATTTTCTGTTTCTTTATTTGTTAAAAAAATAATAGGGGTTAGTTACTTACCTACGTATATCCCAGCCTGTCGTACCCACAGCTATAACATCTGACAATGAAGTTTTACGAACTTCTTTACCTAAAAGGAAATAAAAAATTATTAGTAGCAATACGATACGCACAATGAAATTTACCCTTAACTTACGGGAAATTTCTACTCTCCAGATTTATAAAGTATTTATGCATATACATTTATACATTTTACGGGCTACGACAGAAAAATTATACACGCATTCGAATCAATTAAAACATGATGATTTCACATTTTCTAAATCAAAATTATAGTGATTTTAAATATGCTGGCGTTACATAAAATTCATAATTCATGATTCTGAAATAGTTTGCCCGCACCAGCGTTACTGATGTGGGTGGAAATTTCGGTCAAACCAGCATGCGGAGTGACGCAGGGAGATTGTCGGGATGATGACAGTTTTATTCTGCATGATGCTCATTAGTAGTTTGACCACCATGAGAGCTCACCACTTTTTCCTAGTGCTGGTTGTACAGGTAAGTCAGAATATGAGCTTTTAAAAACGAATAGATTTAGGAAAACATTTTTAAAAATGCGCCGCCTGATTTGATCTGATATTTTAACAATATCCTTGATTTGATGCAAGCAATTTGGGAAATGACGAAATATAAAATTATTTCCTAAAAATATAGTAAAATTTTAACATTAGAGTTGTTTAAGGAATCGGTAGTGTAACACTAGATGTTATGAATATAAGGAGTAATAAACAAACGTTCAAAGTTTATCAAATGTTCGGTCGCGACCGCTGAGCGCAGGGGTGGTTCGACTGGAGTAATTTTGGTGTCGTTGTGTAGGTTAGATCTTTCCATGTCGAATAGAAGTGGTCCGGACATTCCACGACTACGGGGGATTTTGTTATTCTTATAAAATTCTGCCGATGTTTAAGTGAGCTGTAAGTGCACTTAGCGGTCAAATGAAGTTTTCTAAGGCATATATAGTAGGGGGTTTTGAGTGTAGGGGCGGCAAATTAATATAGGAGTATAATTTTCCAAGGACAAAAAAGGGAAAATTTGTTATAATGACTTGATAGAGATTACACACAAAAACTGTAGGAAAGGATATTAAAAACTTTTCCAGATAACAAAATAAACAACAGAGGGAATATTCTCAACTTTAAAATTTCCCGCCAATGAATAAAAATTAACAATAAATAATCGCGTACGTTTTATTATTAAATAATTGCAATTAAACTATATGCAATTATTTAATACATTTCCTTAATTTATCCAAAAATCAATAAAATTTGCAAAATTATTCAGACACGAAGTTATTTAGACCATGTTTTATTTATCGAAAGTACTAAATATGTAAAAGAAAGTAATATATAAAAGAATAGAAATAAAAAATTTGAAATAATCTGTACCGATACGTGACCACTTTTATCTCATGGGTTTCAATCTACTCAAGGTATTGGATCGAGTTGAATTTTTCGAAATTTAAAAAATAAACAGTACATATTTAAATTCCTGTCCAATCGAGAATTCCATTGGATCAGACAGACAAAAGTTTAAATATGTACTGTTTATTTTTTGTGTTTCTTTACAATTTATGTGAATTTAAATTTGTCGATTTTTTCATGTATCAAAATGGCAGCCATTATACTATGGCCAGTTAGGGCAGCTTCAAACTTGTTTTAAATTTATCTTTAGATATGACGGGAACACACAAAGTTGCTCAAATAATTGCCTATTCGAATTTAGCTTTCAAATAAGAAACTTTACCACGTTACTGGGAACAAAATGTTTGAGATTACCGTAAAGAAGTTCAAGAACTACGGTTGTTTGCACGAGGTAGCCTGGCCACCGCAGTCTCCTGACTTAAACCCTCTCGACTAGAGACATTTAAAAAATGTAGTGTATCGTAGTAAAGCGGAAACTATTGGGTGATTGGTATTATAGCTGCTGTCAATAATTTATTGACTACTAGTCTAGCGAGAAGGAAGGTCTTGGTTTGAAAAAACTGAATCTAATATGACCAAAAGTGTTTACAAGTCAGTGGACAAAATTTTGAACCGTTGCTGTAATCTTTTTTTTACTTGTCCTTTATATAATACAAAGATATGAGCTTTTTCCATATATCCCCAAAAATTTACCCCTCCCCTTCAATAATATTTTTATTTATTTTATCTCTCCTATGTATTTAGATTTCCATCAGTGCAGCCGTGAAGAAAAGGGGCATTCTAGACCTTTTCCGCAGTCCATGCAAATGCAGTAAGTCTCACTTAAAGCCGCAACACATTTTTAAATAACGAGCGTTCAAATAAAAACGTGGTCAAGTTGGTTCTGAAAATTTGGACGTAGGGCGTAGCGTATAGCAAATGAACTTAAACGTCATCTGTCAAAGCGCTATATCGCCGCTATCAATTTGAATATTTTCGTTTTAAAAAGCGTTTAAAATGGTGTTTTCTCAAGAACAAAAAGTGTTTACCATAGAGTCCTACTTTAAAAATGGACGTAAGATTGATGGAATATGGAAGTATTCTATTGAGGAATGTTTCATAGAATTTCAAAATCAATTTCCCGGCGTTGTTGAGTACAAAATTTTTCAAAGTGCAGTTCAGCGTTGTGTTAATGTTTTTCGTGAAACGGGCAGTGTAACAAGAAAAGAAGGAAGCGGCCGACCTAAAAAGCGGACTGAAGAATTAAAAGAAAATGTCCAACAAATAATGGAAAATGCGCCAAGAACTTCTGTACGTGTTTTATCACAAATGGTGGGAGTATCAGTCGGTACCTGCCACACAGTGTTAAAAAAAGATTTGCGTTTGTTCTCCTATCGTTTAACTTGTCAGCAAGAACTTCATGAAGTTGATTTTCCGCGACGGGCTGTATTTTGTGAATGGTTTTTAAACAACTACGGTGAACTTCATAATATCACCTTTTTTTCTGATGAAGCCTGGTTTCATTTAAGTGGTTACGTAAACTCACAGAATATGAGAATGTGGATAACCAGATAACTTTTTTGTCGAGGGCCCTCTACACGCTCAAAAAATTGGAGTTTGGTGTGCTCTCAATCGAAGGAGGATTTATGGACCTATTTCTTTTAACGGTACTCTTACTGCGCAAAGGTATAGAGAAGAAATTATCGCTCCTTTTGTTAACCAGCTGGAAGAAAACGAAATTACAAACTTTTACTTTCAACAAGATGGCGCAAGGGCACATACGGCAGGCGAGACGATGAATATGTTGAGGGAAGTTTTCCAAAATCGACTAATAAGTCTCAATGCTGAACATGAATTTCCACCGAGGTCATGTGATATTACGCCGTGTGATTTCTTTTTGTGGCCTTACCTTAAAAACACTATTTTTGAACTGCCTAGTCCTGATTTAAACCATCTGCAGGCTCGACTTATAGACAAGATTCGTGAAATTAACAATACCCCGAGCATCTTAGAAAATGTCTTTAATTCTTTGAGGAACAAGTGTGAAAAGTGCTTGGAACAAGGAGGGGGACACGTTCAGCAGCTGCTTTAATTTATTGTTATAACAAGGAGGGGGACACTTTCCGCAGCTCCTTTAATTGTTTGTTATTGTTATCACGATTATTCTTTAAAATAAAGTTATATAGTCATTAACATTATTGAAACTGACAGATGCTATACAGCTCGTTGAGAAATGAGGTTAAGTTGGTCGCTATAAGCTACTCCTTACGTTCAATGTGTCAGAGCCAACTTCGACCACGTTTTTATTTGAACGCTCGTTATTTACTCTTTTTTTTCTTTCAGAATGTGGCATACCCAACAGAGAGGCTCGCCTCTTAGGCGGCGAATATCTAAGAGGCCACGAACTTCCTTGGGCCGGCTTGATACAGGTCAAAGACGGCCGCTCCATGCCAGCCACCTTGATCAATGACAGATTTGTCGTTACTTCCGCTACAAACGTTCTCGGGTACGACTAGCATCGTAATCATAATATTTACGCAAATATGGAAAAAATGTACATCGCGCCGTCATATCTACCTAAAAATTGTTCAGTTGTTCACTTTCACAATTTCAGCTAGAAAAAAATCCATATTTGTAACCCTTAAGGAAACGATGAATTTTGGAGGGTTAGATACAAGGTGTGGCTATAAAATAACGAAACTGATGCTGTGAAACTTTTTATTTTAAATTTATCTATACTTAATTATTGTCCTCTTCAATATACACCCCTCCTCTTTCCCTACACCGCTCCATGCAAATTTTCCATTGGTCAAAACAACGCTGGAAGTTTTTTCTGTGAGATAGTTCATGACGCGTGTTGCTTTTTCTTTCACATCTTCAACGGTTTGAAATCTTGTTCATTTTAATGCAGATCTAACCTTGAGGAACAGATAAAAGCCATATGGTGGCGAATAAGGCGGATGGTCTAACACTGGGATCTTATCTCCACTATAAACGTCTTGACAGACAAAGCAGTGTGAGCCGGTGCGTTGTCCTGACTTTTTTCCACAATTCGGGAATTTTTTTGTATTTTTATCACGGAGCTTAGCAAGAACCTCGAGGTTGTAATGCTAATTAAGTTTGACCTTCAGCAACCGAGTGAAGGTACACAATCAAATGGATATCATCATTGCTTTGAATTTTTATTTGTTTATTGGAGCTTTTTTAGCTCTGGGTGAATTTGGACTCTTCCAGTGCATGGATTGACGCTTACTTTCTGGATCATAAGTGAAAAACCAAGATTCATCGCACTCTTTCCAAAATGTGCCACTACAAATATTTTTCCAAGCTTATATTCATTCGATTGTAAGACTTGTCGACACCACTTTCGCACAAATTTTTTGCATGTTCAAATTCTCCTGCAAAATTTGCCTTGCGCATTTATCAGTTTCTACAGTTTCAGAATGAATAGTTAAACGACGGTCAGATCGGACCAGATTGGTGATTTTTTCAATATTTTTATCCGTTTTTGACGTGGAAGGGCGTCCCGGGCGTACGTCATCTTCAACGTCTTTTTGGCCGTCTTGGGAACGCTTAAACCACTAAAAAACCGTGATAAAGAATCATTGACATTGACTTCACGCTACACAGTCGGTCGTACGACTTACGCGCATGCGTACTTCGTCTGTAGTAGCATCGGCCTCGTTATTTTATAGTCACACCTCGTATATCGCTTATGGGCGTTGTTTTCACAAGAGAATAACAACTTTATGTTATGACATCCAGTTATTTTCAAAAGCAACGTAGAATGACTAATAAAAAGCAACAAAAAACGGGCCGACATATACACCTTTGCAAAGAATATTTATAACGATTCATTCTCCTTATTTTTTATTTTGATGTCAGAAATTAATTGTAGAAGTTCCATATAAACCAGCATTTTCAAAAATCTTCTTAAGTGTCAAGTCGTCACCTTTTGACAATAAAACTACTGGCAATACTTAAGCTGGATATTGTAAATTTCAGTAATGTGCCTTTGTTATTTACAACTTCTAGCCTTACCTTACGAGGGCACAATCTTGATTTGTGAGTGGACATGACGAGCCAATATTGTTTGTTGTTTCTGGAACAACAGAGACATTCGACCCTCTAAGTTGGCTGTCTAGATTTGTGCATATTTACCACCAACATTTTTTAGGTTAACTCCGCTTGATATCAAGGTCACCATCGGCCAGTTCGACAGGTGTTTCCCGGACGTCTCCTCGACGAATATGAGCGTGGAGAAAATCGTTGTACATCCAGATTTCAGCCCGGCGGACAGAGCTCACGACATAGCTCTTTTGAAGTTCAGTACACCAGTCAAGATCGAGAGAAGGGTATCACCGATCTGTTTGGCTACCCCAAGTAAGTTAATATTTTATTTTCCTGGATGTGTCAATTTCCCGATTGTTTTCTATTAATCAATATGGGAGATATTTCCTCAACAATGGGATACGACCAGATGGGAGATTCCAGTTTCTTCAAAATTGTATTCATATTCCAAAACCTTAAAAATTTGTTTCCAGACACTAAATACTTAGGACAGGTGGCAACAGTGTCTGCTTGGTTTGAAACAGAAACAGAGCAGGGCCCAGCGTCGGCGTCGTGCAGGCCCAGAAAATTGGGACTCCCAGTGCTGGGCAAAACAGAATGTATAAACTCACTAGAAGATCCCCAGATAGTGAGCAACGATAAGGGTTGCATCGGTGTAGTTGGATTACCTAGCCCCATCTGTAGAGTAAGTCGTTATTTTTCCTAGTCTGTGAAGGTACTATTTCTCAAACTTTTTTTAGGTCGACAGTGGCGGTCCTGTAATGTTTCGAACTCGTCAAGGGGTATACGAGTTAGTGGGTATGTAAATTTCGGTAAACTATGAAGCTAACGAGGCGTTCGTGACGTTTTTTTTCTTGTTTTAGGCGTTCTTACTGATAGAAACGAGTGTAACCTGAAGCCTGGAGTAGCCCTATACACCTACATTAATGACCATTTACCCTGGATTACTCAAAATACAAAAGACGCCTGCTACTGCTTTAAAACATAAATTCGATTATATCTTGTTATATTCCATACGATTGTAAAACTTAAATTTAATAAATATTTCTCATTAGATATTTGTATTAAAGGAAAAAACGTGGTCCCTTTTTTTATATCAAACATACTCTTGTAATAAAAATAAAATGACGATGAATAATACAGGTATACCTCCTATAATGATTCGCGTTGTTCTACAATAGCTCCAAAAACCTATTAACACAATATAAAAATATATCGGACGCAATACAACGCGCAACGGTAGGTAAGCATAGAATTGAAAGTCGGTGTTATTTAATAACGGTCTTCAAAAGTGTTTAGCTTATGCAGCCAATTATACAGCTAAGTCATCTAGTGTTAAAACATTGAATTACCTTACCTAATCCGAAGAAATTTGCAGATAACTGCAAGATTGGACAACTCGAGTGGAAAAGAAATCTGTAAACATTTACGACAATCGAATACGCCAACAGGTGTATTTGATTTGCCCGAATTGATTAATGTTACTTTATCGAACAGAATAGCTAAAATCAAATGAATGAAATACAACTATTAAAGGATTTACGAAAATTAAAAGTCATAGTAATCTAGACATACCATTCTCTCTCTCTAAAACCACAAGAGTAACAAAGACAGATCAATTAATCTGAGTTTCTTATAAAATTTCGTAAACCCCCATGTCTTGGTGTCAAACTGTCAAACAACTGTCACTTGTCCTTGTCCATATGTTTTAACATAACCAAGAAAACTGTATAATAAATAAAATAATTGATTCGTTTAATATAAGAAAAATGCCTGAACACGAGGACTTATCAGATGTCATAAAATTGGTTAGCGACATAAGACATAAGTAAGTTTTCAACTTCTAATTCAAAAGAAATATGTAAACCTACTTTTAGGAAGTTATTCAATTCCTATGATATCGCTTTGAGGTCTGAGGAGCTCTTGGAGAAATTAATCTCTCATGGACAGTGGAGAAGTGCTAGGTAATTTACTTAAAGTTGTGATCAATGTATGCCTTATACGAGATTTTTAGGGAACTTATGGCGCTGGTAAAAATTTGGATAAAATACATTACGGAAAATCTTCCACAAGAGGCTACTGCTGTGAACATAATGAGGCATGTTTTAAAAATTATTAGGGAAGAGTACGAAGCTGCTTCAAAGGTACACTAAACTCAGTTTTGTTAAACATTTCTTATGTATTTATATTTCAGAAAAAAGGAGAGGGTCAGTCGTTGCATCAGCTGGTAACCGCTAACCCGAATAATATATTAGATTATTCAGAATCTTTGGGTAACCTTAAATCTAGCTTATTGGATCACTTAACCGAGTACAAAGTCGAAGTAGAATCAAGGTATTTATTATTATCTTTATAAAAAAATTGGCACCTTAAAGCAGGGTATGACGATCATAAATTGTATTAATATTTTTCAGTACTGACAACATAGCAGCACAAGCCCTGGAACACATTCATACAAATGAAATAATACTTACAGTTGGAAAATCTAACACTGTGGAGAGATTTCTAAAGTCTGCTGCTATGAAGAGGGACTTTAGTGTTATCGTAGTTGAAGGAGCACCTTTTTATTATGTAATTTAATAAAAACTGCTCTAATAACATATTTAGTCACCGAATTATCTTTTTTTTAGGGCCATGCAATGGCAGCAAGTCTAGCGAAAAGCAACATAAAGACGACGGTAATCCCCGATACTGCAGTCTTTGCCATGATGTCTCGAGTTAATAAAGTCATCATTGGAACTCATACAGTTTTGGCGAATGGTGGCTTGCGTGCGGCAAGTGGTATTTACGCTGTTGCCTTAGCTGCTAAGCATTATTCTGTCCCAGTAAGTAATTGATTTTGAAAACTTTGAAATCGTTGAGTTATTTTACACAAACACTCAGTTTTGCTGTTAGTTAACTGTAAACTTTATTTGAATCTATAAACAGGTAATGGTGCTGTCAAATATGTACAAATTTACACCGATCTATGTCGCTTCACATGACCGCAGCGCATTTAACGTTTGTGCGTCTCCTGCCGATGTCATACCTTATTCTAGTGGACAATTACTGAATAAAATCGAAGTTTATAATCCCGTATTTGATTATGTTCCCCCTGAACTCGTCACTCTCTTCATATCTCATCAGTAAGTATATTAAATGCAATATTTCCTGTGATTAATACTTTTTTTTTAGGGGAGGAAACGCTCCATCTTATGTATACCGATTATTGTCTGAACTGTACCATCAAGACGATTACGATATATAAATTATGAATTTTAGGCCATAACTTTAAAGATTGTATAAATATATTCAAGTTGGTAAATTATATGAATTAAATTTTTCTACAATTCTTTTATTTCAAAATTGTTTACAATTATCAGTGATTAGAACAGCTAATAACCAATTAAATTTATGTTCATGAAACCTATGGCATTGCATATAATATAGAACTTTGCGAGTTTACTAAATATTAATACATAAATGGAGTTTTATTATTTATTAAGTAGTACAAAATATAATTAATACAATAATTACATACATAGATTATATAGGCTTAATTTTAAAATGTAGTCCGATTAGAGAAAACACCAAACACTTTAAATCTTGAACGAGGTAGTAGAAACATCTCAAACCTTCAGGATCTTTGGACTGGCTAACGTCTACCAGGGAACCTGTTTTCGAGGTGGTGAACGATATATGTTCGTCCTTGATTACGATCTCCAACTCCTGCCTCCCGATACGGTCAGGAGGCGGCCACAGCGAGTCGTCCTCTTGCATTATTTCGGAATCTATAATGATACGCTTCAGTTCCTCCATGACACACTGGTGGACGTACACTTCCTTCCTGATCATCGTGTCATTCTTGTAATTTGAATTGTTAGCATATCGCAACTTGCCGTCTGGTCGGAATTCGAATTCCAAAAATTCGTGGCCAAACTTTCCTTTATGGCCCACGTAGTAACGTATGTAAAAATCGGCGCACATGCTTAAGCCGCTTCTTGAATAAAAACTGATGATATACTATATTCAGTTTTACAATTTATGACATGTCACAGAAATGGCTAAAATAATTTCCAAACTGTTAGCTTTATAACTTGCCACACATTCTATTAATCCCGTTAGTCAGAAATAAATATAAAATTATTGTCAAACATTCAACAAATTACTGTCAAATGTCAAATATAATAGATGCCTTCCGACTTCTTTTTCTTCTTCTTTTGGTTTCTACTAATGTCTCGGGAGCTTTCCATTTATTTACTCCGGAATAGCTCAATGACGGTGCGATTCTTAAACAAAATCAAAATTAAAGTAAAATATTTTTAAATTATGTAATATTCGGTAAATTCTGTGGAACCGCTTTTACAAAATAAGCAGTATAATTCAAGTGTTCATCAAATGCTTCAGACTTGGAGACCGATGGAAACAATAAAATCGTGGTATGAATACTTGGCTTCCATCCCTGACTATGACATATACAGACATGTCAGAAACCGTAACGAGGGTGGTGTTGCACTCATAGTAAAGAAGTGCATCGACCACTATCCGCTGCAGCGGCTCCAAACTCAAAACACAGAGGCCGTGGCGATAGCGGTGAGATCGCTACGGCATGGAGACGTTGCGGTGGTGTCCTGTTACCACCCACCCAGACTACCACTACTTGACAATGACTTAGACAAAATCCTTTCCTGGCCCCAGACAATTGCCATCGGGGACTTCAACGCGAAGTCCCCCATATGGCACAGCGGGACGACGACCACAAGAGGTCGCGTCCTGCTGAATTACCAAGACAGACACGACGACTTGACTATACTCGGACCGACAGAACCGACACATTACGGACCCGTAGGACGCCCCGACGTTATCGACATTGCCCTCTTAAAATCTATACCGTTAAATGCCCAAATATCCACCCAATACGAAGGGTCTTCCGCCCACAATCCAATATTTCTGGATCTGGGGCGAAGACAGAGATATGAAGGCACCTTCACGAGGAGGTTCACTGACTGGGAGCGTTTCCGAACAGTAATGCAAGGAAACATGGCGCTCCCAGTCATCGAAACCACCCATGATCTGGAGGCGGCAATCCTCTCCCTTGAGACTGACATTAAAAACGCCCTAACTCAGACTACGACGGATTACTGAGAATGTATGCGTTCTTTATGAGACATCCATAAATAAGTTTTGACATAAGCCTACTTTGAGAAAAGTCACTTATTTTCTACACCGTAATATTGTAAAAGTTCAATTAAAAGCCTTTTTTCTCAAAAACCGTCCACATTAGGAAGGTCTAACAAGAGTACATTAATTTTAGAAAATAAAATTGTACATTAGAATGCCCGAATGGTAAAAAATCTAACCCTAAAAAAATTAGAACCTAAAATGTAATAGGAATGTAGCGTAACTAGCGCCCTCTATGAAATATCCAAAAAATAATTAGACCAGCGTGTTTGGCGTCCTTAAAAAACCCGGAATACCAAATTTCATAAAAATATTTCGCATCTTTTGGAAATTTTCGTAAAAATTTTATTTTGTCGCTCTGTATCTCGAAAACAAGTGGAGATAGACATATAGTTCATAAGACAAAAAATTCGTACTATCACCCCCTGAATGGAGGTCTTTCTGAAACACCCTGTATATGTAATACTACATTTTCACAAACAAGAATTAGTACACTTCTTCTTCCTCTTCCCTACACTAACCACTAACCCTCTATTAATTATAAGACCCATATTACAACAAAACCATATCCACTAGATATTTAGTGACAACAGGATAATTATTTAAAATAACGGTTTTTTTTCTGCTTAAATATATTTTAGAAAAAACTTTAGTGTTTTCAAAATCTTCTCGATTCAACCGAGGACCAAGGTAATATTGCGGATTAAATTACATAATTCACATTTTTTCAACAACTTGCAAAACTATTAAATATATTATAGTTTTCAATAACATGTTTATTCAAATTATTTAAAAAAAAAAACAAAAAGGCACTTGATATTGTAAATACCTTCTAACTATTTAGCAATAGGAATCGCTTTTGTTTTCTCCTTCTGCTCTGTTAAAGCTCTCGATTCGTGGATGAATACCACAAAATTAACACCCTGAAAGTAACTTGTAAGATTTTAACTTCATTTTGAAAGTTTCCCTACCTGTTGCCTAGCAGCTCTTACAAATCCTTCATTCGCTGAGACAGTAACTGCCCGAATTCTATCACCAAACGTAAAAATCGTTAACGACCTCTGTCTAATTTTTCCCCCGACTTTCAACGAATCGTTCGTATATTGAACCTTATTAAACACTTCGTTAAATTGATCATTTTCAGAGGTGCTTCTATAGTCTGCATCATCCGGAAGAACCACAAGTCGTTCTAGTAGTTCCTTGGCACGGACATTTTCATTTGGACCTCCAACCGTCTTCACAATGTTCTCAAAGTTATCTTTCGCTGTCTGACAACAATACAATTTCTTGTCTAGAAAAATTATAGGTACAAATCAAATCATCACGTATCAATGACATGGAGTACCTTTAAAAAAATCTTCTAGAATATGCTTCTGAGGCCTTAACCTTTCCCATGCAGCCTGCTGTTTCAGAACAGGGACTTCAAAATCGTAAATGGCGGCACTACCATTCGTTACAGAACTGCAATAGGCTAACATCGCCGACACGTCCAAGTTAACTTTACTTATACTCGATACATTGTTGGTAGACAATTCTGTAATACCAGATAGATTATCTGTATTGTACTCTTGAGCTTCGTCATCTGTATCACTGAAATCAACATCATCTTCGTCAATTTCATTTAAATCTTCTAATCTGGTTCCTTTTACAGTGATGCCATATGTTTCCAATTTACTAGCTATATTGTGACTAACGCCGTTGGTGAAAATAAATATGATCTGTAATACAGTAAAAATAACACATGAAGGAAAATAATTACATTTAAACATGCCTTTGGAGTTTGAAATAAGCACGGCTGGAATTTGGCGCATTCCGAAAATTCTTCTGCTTGATCAATGATGCTTCTCACGCCATAACTGGCATTTCCCATACATATTTGACTAACGGATTTTGGATTCCGTGCTATTACTTTAGTCCAAGTTAAGCCTCCATCACTAACAATATCAACGGTTACTTTTTTGTCATTAAGTAAGAACACTTTATTAACACTTTTACAATTTTCCACTGTTTTGAGTACATTTATAAGAGCCGCGAAATGAGTAAGGTTAGAACATTGTAAATGTTCTTTCTTCAGCTGGTTGTTTTTAAGTACCTGGAATTTAAAATACATTATAAACATGTTTTTCCCCTAAAAGGAAAGAAATTATGTATTGCCTTTTTTAAAAATTTTAATTCTTGGTTTATTTTCCGACACAGTTTTTGAGAACCTTCTATATTTTTAAATTCCTCAATGGCGTTAATTAAATTCTCACCAAAATAAATTTTCTGAGCTGCTTGGTCAGTTAAACTTAAATTTTTCTGTTCTTCAGACACGCCGATCATTTTCACTTTTTTATTTTTGTAATTTTGACAGAAGACAGAAAAATTAAATTAATGACATATGCGAAATACAAAATTCCCTATATCATACCCATGGACTAAATCATTACCATAAAAAACGGATTATAGTGTATCCTTCTTCTATGATCATTACTTCTTTCACCACTTATCACTAACTCCATTAATTCTTAGATATATACTACATGGAGGAAACACGGCCTGCTAAAAAGAGTACAGACTGTAGATAGAAAGGGCGATAATTTTGGTAAGTGCTATCTCTCTCTCTTAATGTTATTTGAATATTGCGAAGCGAAAGGAAGAGAGTATACTTTCTCTTTCTTTCTCTGTCACTGTCTGTACACTGTCGTGGTAAGCGTGCTTCCTCCATGTAGTATATGCTCTAAGCATAAATTCCATCAAAACCTTATTAAAATATAAATTACAAATTAGCATCTATTTATAGCTTCAAATTTTTTCATAGGTTTTAGAGACTACATTATCACATATTTTCGCTGACTATTTTTGATGTGTTTTCTAATTAAATTTTTCTCATTTTTATTATTTGTTGAGATTTACAGTCTAGGAGCTTTTCTCAACTTTCTAAAGATCTCTGATATTTACAGATGAATATATTGCTATTCAACATAATATTTAATAAATATAAATCGATTCAAACTACTGGAGGTAGTCTTCTAATAGCCGGGTGCCTTAAAGGTGAAGAAAGTGATAGCTGCTATGAAGGTACTTACTATTTCTCTCTAGCCGAACGTGATTGGCTCACAACTAACCCCCCTCTATATACATGTAACAGCAACAGCCAATCACATTCGACGAGAGAGAGATAACAAATACCTTCATACCAGCTATCTCTCTCTTCACCTTGTAACAAGCCCGGCCATTAGTATACAGGTTCGGAAAGTCCCCATGGTACATCGGCCGTTACGTGGAGCGATAAAGTCATAGAAATCCGTGCGATAGACAAGGATGGTTACAGTGAAGTCGTTTCATAATCTGAATCTCCCACTTCTAACCCGAAACGGGCGGTAACTATTCAGATTATGAAACGTCTTCACTATAGCCATCCTTGTCTATCGCACGGATTTCTTTACTTTGTCGCTCTCATGTAAAGGACTTTAGAATAACACAAGAAATAGATGATGATACATGTAAAGTGTAAATTTCACTGTTGAACTTTATAGTTCAATGTAAGTAATGGAGCTTGGTAATCGAAACAGAAAAAAATTACATTCTTCAAGGGCAAACTTATTGACGTTAGATTTATTATTACAGTAGCTGCTTTCTATTTGCCTGGTATCTGCTCCTGAAGTGTTCTGCTACTGTTCTTCTCTTTAAATACTCCAAAATTAATTGAAATAAATCATCTATCAAGAAAATAGTTTTTTATTCAATATAACAAACTAAGATACAAATAAACAGTAAATATAAAATAATTTAAAAAATATATGTATAACTTACTTCAATACTATCATTACAAAGATTGGTTTTCACAGTCTTATTACGAGAAAAAATCTTTTACGAGCCTCTTCTTCTGATACTCCGTTATAACCTTTATTTCCGACCTTTCGCTCATAGCAATTTTGATTTCATTCACACCTATTTCACTTGTTTCACTGAAACAAACAACATCATCACACATTGCTATCTTGATCGTTTTACCGATTCTTACCTCTCCCTTTCTTGACTAATCATATGCAACCTCCCTCGCCTTATCAAATGATCTGCTAAACATCTAACGGATTCTAGAATCATTCGTTCGGCTCCATTCCACGTGACGCCCTCCGCGATCTCCTCAGGTTTCAACACCACACCACAATCTAAGGCAGCCTCTTTCACGAAAGTGCAATGATGTCTTAAGGAACTATCGGAAATGTCGATGGTGTCACCATCTTTGGACGCTAATGTCGAATCTAAAATTGATCATATGAAAGTAATCTTTACTGAAAATGAAATAATTCCCAATACACATACGTAATTAATTAATGGTCGGTTTGCAACGTGTGAACAGACGTACAATAAAGTCATTGAAGAACATAAAGAAGAAACAGAGGAAAAAACTACAGCCAATACAAACGGGTGTTTGCTACCTTTTCAAATATCAATAGAAAATAAAATGAGACAAAAAAACTCGCTCTGCATTGGTTATTTTTGTACGAAATCATTATTTAACTGCCAATTTAAAAAAATATTCAACTAAAACGCATTTGGTGGACAGCTGTAACGTGCTAAACCACGTCTTAATAGCGCCATCTATTTATAGGAAGTTCAACTCAAATCTCATACTACTCCTTACTTTATTTAATTATACAAAGACAAGAGGAGTTACTTAAATAAGAAGTTTTCTGTAATAATTTGTCCATAGTCTAGTACGTCAGCAGTTGATAACCATGACGCAGTTTAAATAAAAAATTTTAAAAACGATTAAAAATTTACATGAGTTTTTAACTAAATTGCTTGTACACTTCACATTAATTTTCAGTGAAGAGTAGTATTCAATGAGAAATCACTATACATTTTTTATTATGCAAACACTCCATTGAATTAGCGTTTTAATATATGGGACATTTTACGTCAAACCGATCACCCTACCTACATAAAAATTGATTTGACCGATTTAGGCGTGTAGATCTTAAAATGTTTGTCTGTTAATAGGCTTTCAAAAGAAAACTGGCATTTTGAGAAATGCATATGGTGGATCAAATAAGGCACCTACAAAATTCACTCTTCGTGGTAAATTAAGGAAAAGACATTGATAACATTTTCAAAAATGGGAGAATATATCCCCAATGCATATATTAGATTGTTTTTGGGTCCGCAGATTATGAATCTATCATCGGAAATACAAAATGGCGGATCCAATATGGCGGGCATAAAACTCGTATAAAAATACCATAACGATTTCAGGTCATTTGGAGGTTAGTCAGGGAGCTTTTGGGTTCTCTGATAACAAATTTGACATTAGAGTTTTGAACCAATATGGCGAAAGAGGAACCCCAACTGTCCTTCGTTGCAGCAAAAAACGATTACATCTCACATAAAGTAATGTCTGGAGTTTTTAGAAAGTGAGATTACAAATTTACAACTGAAGTTTTAAAATTCATAATGGCGGATCCAATATGACGTTCAAATAACCCCGAATCTTCTCCTTGTCTGCAAAAAATGACTGCAGATCATTTGGATTACTGAAAGGAAGTAGTCTGGGTATTTTTAGGAAGTCTGATTACAAATTTGCCATTGGATTTTCGAAATTCAAAATGGCGGACATGTCCCTCAATTGAGGTAAAAAGCCTAGTCCATGTCCAAAAAAATTGCCGTCGATGTTCTGGCGCTAATAATCATTTTTACAGCTTTATAACTTTTGACTTCTGTTCTTTCAGTGGTGATGAATGAGTAACATTGAATTCATAGCATACTTCTCTCAATTATTTTGAAGTGTTGGAGTATTGCTTAATAGTAAATGTTTCATTTGATTATGGGATAAACGCATGTCCCATTTGAATTATAGCTGGTGAGTGAATCTATCCTCTATACCAGGGGTCGGCAAGTAATTTTAGGTGGGGTCCGGATACTTTTAAAAATTTTTAACGAGGTCCAGAAAAAAATTCATATTTCTTACAAATTTTCATTTGAACTCAAATTTAATCTGCTTACTAACCATTAAGAACTCAAAACACTTACACAATTGTAAAATACTAGAAAAAATGATAAGGTTGTCACTCAAACGTAAAAAAACATTTTTTAAATAATTTATTTGAGTAATTTATACTTTAAAAAAATTTTTGGCGGTCCAGTATTTTACCTTTCGCGGTCCGGACCTGGACCGCGGTCCGCCAGTTGCCGACCCTTGCTCTATACCTTAAAGGGAAGCAGTTGACGAACATGTTCACCATTTTGAATTTTAAAAATCTAATGGCAAATTTTTAATCAGACTTCCTAAGAACCTCCAGACTATTTCCTTTCAGCAATCTAAATGACCTGTAATCGTTTTTTACCGAAAAGGAAAACATTCGGAGTTCTTCGTATGCCATTTTGAATTTTAAAATTTCAGTAGTAAATTTGTAATCTCACTTCCTAAAAAACTTTACACATTACGTGGAATGTAATCGTTTTTTGCCGCAAAGAAGGATAGTTGGGGTTTCCCTTCCGCCATATTGGTTCAAAACTCCAATGTCAAATTTGTTATCAGAGAATTTAAAAGCTCCCGGACTCTAACCTTCAAGTGACCTGAAATCGTTATGGTATTTTTATATGGGTTTTACATCAGCCATATTGGATCCGCCATTTTGAATATTTCCAATTATAGATTCGTAATCGGCGGACCCAAAACTGTACAATATATGCATTTCTGAAAATATTATCAATGTTTTTTCCATGAAGAGTGAATTTTTAGGCGCCATATTTGAATCACCATATTGAATTTCCCAAAACGCCACTTTTCTTTTTAAATTCTATTAACAAAGGAACATTTTAAGACCTTATACGCCTAAATCGGTCAAGTCAATTTTTGTGTAGGTAGGGTGATCGGTTTGACGTGAAATGTCCCATATTTAGGAAGTTTATTATATTCTTTTAGCCCTTTACAGCTCACTTATTAGCGACATCATAGTGCGATATCGGAATATATATTCTTCGTGTCAAAATTAATATACCATTAAAAATGGGCTACAATTTCAAAGTTGATTTATTCACGAATGGCTATGAATCATATACGAAAAAACAAAAAACAGTCAAAATGATTTAAACAAAACGGTTGGCCAACAGCAAGAAAAAAACTGAAAAAATTACTCACCGTTCTCATGAACAACATCAACGTGGACATCGTCACTGGAGCAATTCGGAGGTAGAGGTTTCTGTGGCGAATCACAGAAACAAGTCATTAATAATTCTAGTTCTTTTGAGGGCTTGTTAAATAAAACTCCCCCTGATCTCATAGGACTATAACCGTGAGATCTGCCATACATGAAAAACGATTTTGTGCTCCACCTTTCGGATCCCTCAAAACGCTCGGAGCAAAGGATTTTTTTAACTGTCCTAGCACGACTCCACTGAAATTCAAAGTTTTTTCAAAAAAACAACCCAGAAAAACAATCCTACGGGTTACCTCGCAACTCAACTGCTTGCCTATGTTCCAGGACGAAAACTCAGCCTCCGAACTAGCCATATAAGGGTAAACACATTTAAAACTGGGGTTGTTGGCCTGCTCGCTCCACAGCGGCAACCTCTTGAACAAATACGGTAACACTTCACCCACGTTCTTAAACTGTTGTTTGGGAAATTTCACTTTGTACTTTTCGAAATCGATACGATCTACTTTGGTGTTCGACAATTTTTCGAGGACAGGGGCGGGATCAATTTCCTTTACTAACGGCGGAGGGGTCTTCAACAATTTTATCTGCACAATGTTCCCGTTGCTGAGAATGACTTTGTTGAAACTTTGGGGTAAGACTTTAATTGGTTGGCCAGTGGCGGTGGTAAATGTCCTTACAACACACTAAAAAATAATGATGATGAATAAATAAATAACACATACAGAATATGACTTAAGTAAGTAAAAGTATTTCGGGAAATCATCCTTCATCGCTATATGTTAGTACTGTATAGTGTATAGCAAAATGCAAAAAAGAAATGTTAAAAACTATGATTATTCTTACTTTATCCTTGGAAATATCTGCCTCTGTTTTCCGCCTTTCATCTCGATACGTTTCGTCCAATCCGAATATTAAATTATTCCCTTGTTCCCCGGAACTGTCCGATTTTTCCTCTTTCACCCTATCACTCTGTGAAAGATCGTCGCAATCCTTATAAGGCAAGCTGTAACTGTGGTCCAGGAGAGAAGTCTCCGAAACCGACACATTAACATCCACATCCTCTTCGACTTTTATTTTTTTATCGTGGCAATAATTATGCTCCAAATCCGCGGAAGTTGTAGGTAGCTCCTCCTTGACGTCCATCAAGGTGTTCTCTATAATAACTTTGTTGTCCGTTTCAATATATTTCTCTTCGTCAGGTTGGTTTTCTGGCGGTTCAACTTTAATAAAAGAATAAACATCATTGAAGATTTTAGGAACTGTATCTTTGCTATCGTATACAAATTTAGATTCTGATTTTGTCGATATATCGTTTTCGTGAAGATACAAATCCACTACTGTTTCATTACCTGTAAAATCCAATTATAATAAAGTAACGTTTGTTTATTATTGTTACGACTTACCTAAAGTTTGTCTGCCAGTATAGGTTTTGTCCAATTTCAGGTTATGCACAATACTAACTGGCTTATTTAAAGTGCACTTAAAAAATATTTGCACTCTCAACGGAAATTCGCCCCAGCCTCTCCGAGAAAGGTGAAATGGGTATTCACTACAAATAAAATTATATAAATTCTGTCCTTTCAATTTAAAGCTATACCTACCTAACTTCAACAACATCATGCGGTTTATACGAAGGATGTAAATAAAAAACGACCTTTTCAATCAAATGTGACAGATCTGGTGCTTCTTTTGATCCCCTAACGTAAACCATCCACTTGTGAGTAGTATTGTCATTTTCTAATGAAGGCATCCATTTGGAAATATTACCTACTAGTATTCTGTGCTTAGTTTTCTTCCTTTTTAGGGAATTTTGAACACTTTCAACATTGTTACATTTTATACTATCGGTTACGGTTTCCCTTAATTTAATTTTTTTCACATGCACTGGCTGAGATGGTTCTTCTAAGGCCTCATTGCTTTCATTGTTTTTATTGTGTACTTTTCGTTTACCTCGAGCTGCCAGTGCTTCCAAACTATTATTTCCCAACAACTTTTTAACAGCTGGATGTATTCTGCTTTGTGAGTCAAAATTTGAAGTTGAAGGACTTTCATTCGTACTAGCATACTCTAAATTCCGTTTATTATAATATGACGAGACTAGCACGTAACGTACTAAATGTAGCAATTTTTGGGCTTTGAAAATTTTATCTTCTATTTCTTCTAACTGCTGCTGACGGAATGTTAACTCTTTATCGAATTCCACAGCAATAATACTATGCAGTCTTTCGGAAGTAAGTTCATTTTCTAAAAATATTGATATTTCCAAATGTTTAAACGAACATTTTTTGTACTAACCTTCACTTTCCTTCTCAATTTCTTTTAGGGCTAAATTATACTTTTCATAGTCAGGGTCTACATTTGCAAAATCCCTGTTTGGTTCCATTTAATAAATTTAAAATAAATTCAAAAATCATATATTTAACTTAGTGTTAAAAATACTCCAAAAACCATTTAATACTTTACACCTAACCTAAAAACAACAAATCAAAACTTTCAGTTAGTTGGCAACATTTTTTTCAACCATAGGCTATTTTTCAAGACTGTACGGTAAGCAAGGATAATTGGTCAGATGTTGTCTGTCTAAAACATTATATCAATGACGTCATAGTTAAATGTTCGTTTGTAAATTCAAATTATGTCTGTGTAGGTCATCACTTTCCTAAAACTATTACAATTGATAGACTCTAGATATAGATTAAATTACATTGTTTATTAAAAATTTTATTAGCATGTAATTTAACAAAATTTATTTCCATTCTTCCTGCATCTCCTTTTTCAATAAGCTGAGCTTGGCGAGGCAAAGGTCCCTCCAATTCCTCCTCTCTTGCAATTTATCCAGTGGGACCATAGCTTCTAGCTGCCTGGCGATTTCTTTAACTTTGTGTTCGTCATACTTCGCCGGAGGAGGTTTGAAATCTTCGCTCACAGAATGCATAGTATCTGCGTATCTCTCGCAGTAGTTAACAAAACCTTCTGCGTTTAAATGGGTGGTTTCCAGAGGTCCTAGGAAGGCGTATCTCATGCCTAAGCCATCCGACATGACCTTGTCGATATCCTCAACGTTTAGTATGCCTTCTGTGACCAAATGCCACACTTCATTTAAAAGAGCGTACCTGAAATAAATAATAGGGTTCAGTTTTAGTTTGAGCTATAAAAAAAAATTCTAAGTTATTTGTAAGTCTGGTGGAGAAACGTATTACTAACTGTAATCTATTTATTGCAAAGCCAACAATTTCTTTGGAAAAGGTTACAGGTGTCTGGCCAATTTCTGTCATGATAGTCCTCGTTTTTTTTACAATTTCTGGATCAGTCCAAGGAGCTGGAATTATTTCAATCAATGGGGCGTAGTATGGCGGGTTTATTGGGTGGGAAACTATTACATTTTGTCTAAAAAAAAATTTGGATATTAGTGTACAGAGTTACATTTTAGATGAAGAAACTCGGTTTTATTTATCTTTTGCGGAGTTTGTTACCTGTGTTTTAAGTCTTTAGTAAATAAAGACGGCACAAAAGCTGATGTTGAGCTTGAGTAAATGGTATTTGACCCTGCTAGAGCGTCAATGTCTCTCCAGGCTTTCTTTTTTGTTTCCAAATTTTCTGGCACGCATTCTTGCACCAAATAAGCGTTTTTGACTACCTCCTCTAAACTATTTACCCCTATAAAAATATGTTTTTTAGTTTATAATACTGCTACCGACAGATTCAATTTTTTTAATCTGTTACCCTTTATTAAAGCGAACTGTTGCTGGGCATTAAGTTTCCCTCTGAGCAGACCATTCTCTTCTAACATTTTCAACTGTTGTTTGATGTCCGCCAAAGCATTTTTTATTTGATTTTGATCGACATCGTATATAACTACATTGTAATTCGCTCCAGCGAATAGCATTGCGAAGGATCTGCCAATTAGACCGCTAGGAATGATAAAAACAAAAGTTAATCTTATTTGTTTAAAAGACAAAATAGGACTAAGTAAATAAAGATAATTTACAATGCATAAAAATAATTTAGTTGTTATGTAATATGTTTACTATACTGTTTTAGAGTGTAAAATAAATTTGTAATTGTATGTATACAAGAGAAAACAATCAGCAGCGTATTTAAATTAATTCGAAAAACACTTCTTTCTAAAAAAATGTTATAAACAATATTGTTTTTGTATTCTTCCTCTTGCAACAGATTTACCACATGAAATATAATGAACAAATCTAGTTACATACCTTCCAACAATACCGATTTTCTTTTTATTGGAAGACATCTTCAACTGTTATCGCCAAAGCCACTCGGATAACTAAACTCATGTAATTATTCAGAATGATTCTTTTTCAAACAGCGGTCGAAAGATCAAATCGTTGCCATAATTTTTTAAAACAAATAAATGTTTACATTTCGATAACTTCCAAAATATTCCTAAATGTGTTATTTCTTAATTATAGCGGTTTTGTATGTATATTATGTACATATTATACCTTTATCTATACGTTTTGCTTTGTTGAAATTCTGATAACGATTAAATAATAGGAATGAGCCGCAGAAAGATACGTAAAACGCGTAATACAAAATACAAATATATTTTTATCCTATTTATCATGCAAAACTTTAATTTAACATTAGTCCTTATCCTAGAAATGAGTTAACGCAATTATCAAATATATACACACCTGAATTTATTGGATGGGTGATCTTATAAAATCAAAAAAATAAGCTACTAAAAAATTAATGCTGGAACAAAGGGTCAAATTATTCTAAAATTAATTATGAGGAAATCATAACTATAAAAGCAAGTAAATAGAGACAGTTAGAATGTCACTTTTTCCTGAAGCAATTCAATTTTAATATGAGTGATGAACAGCATAGTAAATATTCAAAAATAAATAGTTATGTTTTCTTTGACAACTTTATTGTTAAAAGAAATTTAATCTTTCAAATATTTTTCAGAAAACTTAGCATCATACTTTTTTCAGTTACCATTCTTAAGAATTTTCAATTCAGCACTGCCTCTAAAGAAAACATGAAAATTTGCGAGAATTGAAAAAATCACCCACCTTTCGAAAATTTTCACTAATCTTTCAAAACCCCACACGTCGAGCCACCAAGGGGAAAAGTTAGCAGGTCTCACCAGCCGGGACTACTCCAGGAAGCTACTACCATCCCTGAAGCGAGCTAAACACGACCGCCACATGGCGCCCAACATGGGGCTATGTCGTCATACGAAATCGAAACCTCGGGCGACAAAATTATGTGGCTATTCGAAACTTAGGTGAATTTTGACACCATTTTTTTTAAATTTAATAGTCTGACACGGGCCATAGTCAGTGATGTCATTAAAATATCCCGTTTTCTATTTCTACAAAATAAATAACGCAAATTTTGTCCATTTTGTGGATAAAGTATAATGAAAAATTATACCCGTTTACTAATTACTAAAGCTGTGCCTATATGAAGCAAGTAAGTACTAAACAATTTTAATTTGAGTATGCTATAAAACCCTATCATCATTGATCTAATGCGGAATAAACTTGGCATAGATTAGTAAAGGTTTTGAACTTGTCCACTTTATGTAATTCACTGCTTCAAGGGATCAATAATGAAAAGGCATAAAATAAAAGAAATGAAACTAAAAATTCTTTTATTTCAATTTGTTCAACTCTTGTTTCAACTGACTTAATCTAGTGAGACACAGATCCCTCCAATTCCTTCTTTCTTGCAACTTATCCAGAGGCACTTGTGCTTCCAGCTGCTTCGCTATCTCTAGAACGTGAGGTCCCTCGAACTTTGGCAGTGGCTTGAAGTCCTTGCTGACGGCGTGCATGGTATTGGCGTATCTATCGCAGTAGTTGACGAAACCTTCGGCGTTCAAGTGTGTGGTTTCCAAGGGTCCTAGGAAGGCGTATCTCATGCCTAGGCCGTCCGACATGACCTTGTCGATGTCCTCCACGTCCAGGATGCCCTCGGTAACCAGGTTCCAGGTTTCGTTCAACAAAGCGTACCTGAAGTACAAGAAATTGTTAAATTTCTGTATGATAGGGAGTTGAAAAAGTGGTCAATTTGTTGGCCAAATTTAGAGTAATTATTTACAACGGCGTAAACTCTCTAAAAATTCTTAAAATTTCGTTGTTTTTGTGCGGTGGAGCCTAGTTTTTGAGAAAAAAATTCTAACCTGTATCTTCACACAACATACTCGAATCCTCACTGTTTACAATATTTTTCAGTCTATACGTCTTTTAAAACTCAGTAATTAGAGCTCTATAGTAGGATCGTATTCGATGCAAAGTATAGCAAAAAGTTGTCGGTCTTTTATCAAAGGAAAATCGTGTCATCATTTTTAGGAGGCGTAAGATAAATCATTTCAAATTTAAAATGAAATTCAATGTAAAATCTGAAATACCGCTGCATACGCACTGTGTTCTGGTAGTAGCTGTAGTCGCCCAGGTGCGTCGAGTGTACGAACTGGTCGGTTATACGTCAAATACTAACCTGGCGAGCTTTGCCGTCAATTATAGAGAGCGCTTTCAAAAAACAAGTATACAACAGTGGCGCGTACAGAGGTAAAATGTAGTACATATGTGGAATTTAGGAAACAAATTGGATTTATAATAAATTACATTTAAAATAAATAGTTTATGAGAATAAAGGAATTTTTGTAGGAACAAGGGTGCCAGCCTGAACTGATCCCCTCGTCCCTTCATAATGTATAAAGAAATTATTCAATTTGTAAAACCCTTAAAAGCGTACTTCATTGGTTCCCTTGACAGGCAATGATTTATTATTTGCATCGAATATGATCCTACTATAGTCATATGAATAATCTCATATGGCTCTAGTCAGGCGCGGATCTAAGAGAGGGGGGCGATGTATGCGATGGCCCCAAATTAAAATCTTACAAGAGTGAAATAAAATGGAATCAAACGCCGCTTTATCTAAAAAAATATTCGGAAAGCACAGGCGTACGCAAAAAAAAATAGGGGGTCCATGGGTACTGCGACCCCCCCTCGTTCGCGCTTTGATATTTTAAACCAAAATTACACAAAAAAATGTGCCGACTTAAGATCAAAATATGTGCTAAATTTCAAATAAATATCTCTACAATCACGGGAGTTATCAATAACAATCATTTTTTAAATTTTGTATTTTGTTAATGGGGCTCCGAAATGAAAAGTGACATAAGAAAAGTTATTTTACATTATTTTAGTCCAAAGAATATATGGTTAACGAGTTGACCTACTAATTTGTAACACCCTGTATATGTCGCAAACGGCAAATTAAAAAGCACTGAAAAAAAATTGCTGTTTCAGTGTAACAAAAGTTTCGAAGTAATGGTTCAGATATAATGTAAAAAATTATTCGCAGTACCTACATTGGCCCCATAATGTTTCTATTATTTTTTGCATATTTTGCCAAGACTACAGAACATATTTTATAAAATACAAATAATAAACAATGCTAGTATAACAATCTAACAGCTCAATTTACTATCTTTGCAATATAAAAAATATAAAAATAAATATTATCATCATCATCTTAATATCCTACGTACGTACATCATGTTTGTTGTAAACATTGTCACTTACCTCCATGTTTAATATAATAATCGACAATTAAAATTTCTGAAATGCGATTGTATACAGGGTGTTTCTAAATATCATGTACGTAAGGGAGGGAGTAATTCTTTGGCTTATTTCATGACTAAAAATTCATATGAACATAGATCCGCAAACGCTTCGTTACCGATCTACAGGGTGTTGAAATTTTAAGACTTTTTTTAGTTTTTTCTCTATAGCTCCGATAGTTTTTGAGATATTTAGCTCAAATTTGAAATATAGATTACGTTGTAGGGCTTACATCATTGGGCATACCAAATGGTTGTGATATTCTACAGAGTGATATTTTTTCGGGGGTCATGCCCCCTTTTCTTCCCCTAAACTTTTGTGCGGTGCGGCGCTGATAGATTCTAAAATCAAAATTGAATTTTATGTTTTGTTGAGAAACTTTTTGGTCTCTTCGAGAAAAAAAAACGGTTTTGTGTAATTCGTTAGATGAAATTGAAATTCTTAAAATGGTCCAGTCGTAGGCCCTGGATTTATTTGCATAATCGTAACTTGGTTTGCATATGTTTATAAATTAATGGTATAAGTTATCAATGTAAGGTGTAAAATTATTTTAAATACTCATTATAATCTCATAACAATGCCAAATTTTACGAATTTTGAAATGGCTGAAATGCATTTCATGTATGGCCTTGCGAATGGAAATGCAAGAGAAGCTAGACGTCTGTACATGGAGCCCTATCCCAATAGAATGATACCTGATCACCGAATATTCTCAAATATTCATAGGCGTCACTTTCGACAATTGTAACATAGTTTTCTTGTAATGGTTATTATTTAGGTTTTTTGTATTGTAATGAATCATTGCTACAAAAACCGGGTCATCCCAGCTTTTAACAGGTAGTGGCAAATAAACTGTCAAAATTAATAGAAACAAGAGACTATCTAAATAAAAATAAATCCAGAGCCTACTGGACCATTTTAAGAATTTCAGTTTCATCTAACGAATTACACAAAATCGTTTTTTATTATTTTTTTTCTCAATAACGGTCGCAGATACGAAAAAATCATAAGAGACCAAAAAGTTTCTCAACAAAACATAAAATTCAATTTTGGTTTTAGAATCTACCAACGGCGCACCGCACAAAAGCTCAGGGGGGCATGACCTCGAAAAAATATCACTCTGTAGAATATCACGACCATTTGGCATGCCCAGTGATGTAAGCCCTACAGCGTAACCTATATTTCAAATTTGAGCTAAAATATCTCAAAAACTGTGGGAGCTATGAAGAAAAAACTAAAAAAATCTTAAAATTTCAACAACCTGTCATGAAATAAGCCAAAGAATTACCTTCTCCCTTATGTACATGATATTTAGGAACACAGTATATCAGATTAAAAGTTATTTATAACTTCCTTTTTGAATTTTGACTTATTATATTGGACTACATTTAATTGTTTACAATGTTTACCTATGACTTCTGACACCTACAATTAAACTTTTACTTTTCTTTGATTAAAATAACAAAATACTCTATAAACCCACTGACATAAAGATACACGCTGGCATTGATAATAATAGCTTTTTTTCGAAAAACAAAGTTAGGAACTATCAGAAACCATCAGGCGCGTGCGTTTTTGCGAAATAACGTTCGAAGAGCAACTTTATGTAGATGGATCCATTTAGATCCCAAAGTAATTATATTTAATGTAAAAAAAATAATTATCATCATATAGAAATCTATCAAGATATCTTCAGATAGCACGTAATTATACCGGTTTTAACAGTTGGGTTCAGGATTCATAGACATTTGCTTTGCCATTCCAAATTATTTACTTTACTACTGAATTATAAATTTACAGTATTTAGTAACCTTATTTCAGACATATCAAAGATGTAATACAGCTGGGAAAAAGACAGCAGAATATTCACGGTAGGAGATAGGAATGACGTTTTAAAGATGAAATTATATACAAATGTTTTTTTGTTAAAAAACGAAAAATACGTTTCCTAGGAATTATTAGAACTCATGTTTATTAACGGATATATTGGATGCAATGTTATAAATAGGGTTGAGGGATGGGTATAATGAGCAATTCTGAAAATCAAGTTGATGAATTGAAAGAAATAGAATCGGAAATTTGGCGGGAAATTTAAATAGTGATGATATATGTATAATGGTTATAAGGGATAAAGGAAAAACTTGTGATGTGATAACTGATAATCACCACCCCAACGACATCCCCCCCCCCTGCCCGCTAACCTTTTCTGTTTCAGAGACCGCCAGGATCAAGAAACGAAGACAACGACACACACACACACACACATACACACTCCCCATACCCTCCTTACCCCTCCCCTCCCGCGCTAGCCTAAGGGCCACCTTAGCAAAGCGCATCCCAGGCTGCATAGCCGCACTACCCTACCCAACCATACCACACATAAACATGACACCACCCCCGGGGCTTACATAGACGAGCCGGCGAACCAAGAAGAGCGCCAGAAGAAAGGGCCCTAGCCGGCGGGGCCCAGCCAGGACAAAAGGAGGTCCCACAAAGCGCCTACACCGGCCGCATTTGCGGTCGGGGTAGACGACGGATGGGGCCCACCTACGAAGGCTGTCCAGGCCTACACGAGATGAGGCAGGATAAAGAGGGATAATACCCCTCGATCCCAAATCATTGAGGCCAATTTCTAGCCATGGAATAATGGCGAACTGATAATCACTGAAGTATTCATTATGGGAAAATTTTAAATTATACTATAATTTACAGAAAGGTGATATCGTAATAGAATTAAGGAACAATATAGTATGCATAGGAACATTCCTGGTTCTAGAAGAGTCCAAAATAGTTTCCAACAGTTCTGCACATTCCGATAAAATGTTTAGATGAGGTTCAAAATTCATTATTTTGATTCTAGTGCACTAGAAACAAAGCTATTAGTAGCTCGATTGATAAGTTTAGGTACTACTTTTTCACTCGAAATATCTCATTACTATGTAAATACTGATTATGAGTGTTGTGTGAAATACATCACTTCAGATTTGTGCCTAACACCCCCGAAAACAAGAGGTCTAGGCAGAATTTTATAGTAAATAATTACCAGTATGTTAATACACCTTACTCACTGCATTCTGTTGACAATGAAACCGGGGATTTCCCGGGAGAGTGACACTGGGGTTTGTCCGATCTCCTCCATGATTGCGCGCGTCTTTTTGGCAACTGCAAGGTCGGTCCATGGGGCTGGAACTATCTCAGTCAAAGGCACGTAGTACGGAGGGTTTACCGGATGGCAAACTATTACGTTTTTCCTAAAATGTTGTACATTATGAGTGGAAATACGAAAAAATGTCAAATGTTTAATTACGTTTACCTGTTTTTGATCTCTTCGCTGAACAGAGACGGTAGAAACGTGGAGGTGGAACTTGAGAGAATGGTATTTGGCGAGGCTACGGCATCTAGACTTTTGAACACCTTCTTTTTCAATTCTATATTTTCTGGGACGCATTCCTGGACGAAAAGGGCGTCTTTAACAGCCTCTTCTAGACTGTTGGTACCTAAAAACATATATTTTTCCTATTCATACAAGCAAAACAAAGGAAATTGTGATTTTGCTTTTTTTTTCTCTAAACACGAAAATGAAACATTTTTTCTGGGAACACTAATTTCGGAAATTTTGGGCGCTAGAAAATAATTACGAAGAGGTGAGCCTATAAATTAAATATGCTGCTATAAAAACGAAATGCTCCTTTATCTAGCACTATTCTCATATTTAGTGATCAATCGAATTTGTTTGCAAGTAATTCGTTTCCATGAATTAATTACAAGATTTTTTTGTGATTCACAATTTCCTTTTTGTTTGCGATATTTTGCGATTTTTGCACAATTTTTGGGTAATGAGGCTCAACGGACTTTAGATTCAAATTCGACTCCACAAAATTTATTAGAAGGACCAATCTAGAAAATCTGTTTCTAAATTTTCTCACTTTTGACATCTAAAACTAATTTTATGTATTCTACAACTGAAATAATTACATAAGTATGTATTATCTTTGAGTATAATTGAGTACAGCATAATGTAAACGAGCAAATTCATATGAGCGGAAATGGTAATCATTTTCATGTGCTGAAAACATGAACGGGTACCTTTAATACATGCGTATTGTTGTTGGGCATTCAAAGTCCCTCTCAAGAGTCCCTTGCTCTCCAGAGTTTCCACTTGCTGTTTAATGTCTGCCAAAGCATTCTGGATCTGGGAGGGTTCGATGTCATAGATGAAAACTTTGTAGCCTACAGAGGCAAATATCATGGCCCATGATCGCCCGATTAGACCGCTGTAGGCAGAAAAATTGAAATCAATTTTTTTACTACAGTTGTCAATTGCAGACAATAAAGTACAGCAAAGTTAAATTCACCAGGGCCATATCCATATCCCAGTAGGTGTTGACATTTGAGTGAGGGAAGTTTGCCTAAATCGTATAAAATAATTAATTTAGTTGTAAATCTAACAAAAGAGTGAAGTTTAACTGGATTAGAATACTCCCAAATATCCGGCTGTCAATAACTGATTGCTGTAAAAAAAAATTGAAAGGCATATATTTTTTTAAGTAAATATAAAGTGGCATTTCAAAACATCCCTCCCTTTTCCACAAATCTCTACCAAAAGAAATATGGAAGAAAACAAAATACTGTTTAAAAAGTGTTTTAGCGATTTTCATCCAAGGAAGCTATACTGGATGATGACCTATTCGCTTTTGTTCACCCTGTATTACACAGCGGGAAATTATAAACTGTAACTTTATATAATTCGATAGGAAATGCTTTAAAGAGGGCAGTTATATGTTATAATAAGATTAGTAAAATTAAAGACCTAATCTTTTAAGATTCGATAGAGTGATTCTTCAGAATTTGCCCTGTGATCTTTTGCTAAAAAATAATAAGGCCAGCATGTTTCATAACATATTATTTCGCAATTGTAATAAATGATCACAGTTTCTATTAAGAAACCGTTATCCGTTTAAGGATTAATTAATATTTTAATGAGTTTTAAATCAAATTTTGTATATTTGAGAATGAATTATTTTTTTAACATTTCACACAGTTGAATGATATTTTTAGTTTCAATTAAATGATAAAAATGATAGCTGATAATAATCTTACATAATTTAACTGTTTATTTTTATTTAATTTAATTAGGTAAATTTTTTATAAATAATATTGCGACAAGAATAGATAGGTAGGTACTCTAAATAATTAACAAAAGTTTTTACAGATAGATGTTTATCTGCTGAAAAACAAAACGAAACAAAATGACATTCAGTAACAAAACGAAAGTAATAAATATATATTAATTCAGAGTTTACCAAAAATTTTTATTACAAGTCTACCTGTATATTTATTAATTTTTTAAAAAATAAGATAGATAGCGCTTTTCACTACTTTTTGAAAATTGAACAAATTGCAAAGATATTTTGGTAATGCCATTGTTTTTAGAAAACAAGTTAAAAAACCTTAGTTAGTTCAGTTAGAACATTGTTTTTAGTAGAAAACAATGATTATACAATGTTCTACCGTAAAACCACATAGATATTTACATTTATTTATGATCTGCCATCTGGATTTCATCGAAGAGAACTAACCAAGGTTGTTTAACTTATCTTCTAAAAACAATGGTATTGCCATTTTGAAAGAACAGAACAGAAAATTATCGCAATACCGAGGGAAATGTCATTTAGACATGCAACTGCAACAATTCATATTCATCTACCTACCTTTAATGGAAAAATGCTAGAAAAAATGTACTTATTCACCGCAAGAAGGTGCCCTCTTGTTCGACAAGGTAATAAAATCGTGTTAGTGAACTATTTTTTAATAAGCCTAGCATGTGACATTTTAACAAAATTCATAGATCTAATAAAGTAAGAAAAATTGCTAATGCAGATTGTCATTGTCACAAAACTTTCTTAAGTCCATCAGTGAAAACGTATTCAATTTAATAAAACTGCAAAGTAGATAATAAATATAATAGCATTATTTAACTTGAAAGTACATAACATTCCATAATCATTTTATTTATTTATCACAGGTTCATCTAGGTCATTCTAAAAAATATTGACATTTAAAAACATACGAGTTCTCGAATTAAATATATTTTAATCCCAAAGTAAAATGTTAGTTAATGAGTCAATTTAAATGTTACCAAAATAAAATACTTTTAAGTGGTAGACATATTTTTGTATTAAAATAGCTATATGTACGCATTTTGTTAAAAAAATACTCCATAATAACGTTTTTACAAACATGACATACTTTTATAACGCAGATATAGAAATAGGACAACATTATTGTAGAAACGACTTATAAATAGAAAGGAAAAGTAGTGATTGCCTTTTGCTTACCTGCCAACGATGCCAATTTTTCTGTTTGGAGTGGACATGACGAGAAAGTGAACTCAAACTCTGTATACAGAATAATTATTTGTAATCGTTGGTCTCCTTTTTATTAAAATCATAATCTTGGCGGCAGTAACCGAGAGAATCTCGATTTTAGCCGTTTACTGTTGTTTAACTGCTAGCGATATAACGATAAAGACATACATTCTTGGGACTAAACACAATATGCAGATACCAAATACGGAATTTCTGGGTAAAGATAAAATCTAAACTTCTATTTTATTGTGGGCAAAGACTTTTTACATTTTATATCTATGTATATCCATGTCTTGGTCGCTAGATTAAAAGTTTTGTGCAATTAAATACTTTTTTTATTGTTTATTACCTTACAGCTTGCGAATCATTACACAAAATAATTAACGTCATTGGAAGGCGAAATTAAAAGTTGTTATTGAATTACAACATTAATTACCTAAAAAATACAGTTTTTAATTTATATATTTTTATTTATCTTATCAAATTCCGGGTCGTTATATATGTTACCCTTTATACAACAAATATTTAACATCCACTATGACTGGTTGCCTATATTAAAGGCAACATTATTTATAAATATAGATACTAAGTCACGTACATTGTTGCGTCAGATTACTTTATAAATATTTACAATTCTATATCTATTTTATTTCGATGAAATCATTACAATGTTGTAAATTATTTTTAAATTAGCAGCAAATTGGCGCCACCTTTCTCAAATGTTATACTCAAGATCATATTATTTTTGAGCGACACCTACATTCTTTCACAGACAGTAGTTCACGACAAAATGTCTACCACCTGTTTTACCTACACTTTTCTCGGAGTGAATCGCGAAAGAGGTCTAAAATAATATGCTAAAGAGCTCCAGCTAAAAGTAACCCAGTGAACGAGCTGCTGCGGTGGAGTGTTGTGTGATATTAGTGCTCACTTATATCAGGATCACGGCGAATTTTTCGAATTTGTGGGTGTTTTTGTGACAAACTGGGCTGTGTGTATAAAAAGAGTCCTAGCTATGGCAGAAAGTAGAGGAAGTTTATTGGCTAAATCAGTTCAGAAACACGCTGGAAGGGCCAAAGAAAAGGTCAGTGACTTATTTACCTTTTTAGGTTATGTATTTAAATGTCTAAATGTATAGTAACGAAACTTGTTCAAAAGTAATTCGATACACTGTCTTAAAATGCCTTTTTCGTCGACAACTGTGTTGTAACATTATACTTTAAAAGTACATGCAACGTTACGTGTGTTAAAAGTGACTAGAATTACTAATTTGTTTATACTTTGCATACATACAGGTAACAACTTGATATACCTAAGTATTTTGAACAGAAGTAGCCCATGACTCTTTTTTTGACTGAGAATTTGCCTTGGAGCTATGTTATTTTTCATTTGTGGAGTTATCCTACTTTCTCAAAAAGTGTGTCACAGACCGAGACCGTCACAATCTCATCACTGGTATCGTAAAAGAGTATATTGCGTTTGCAAGCACCGAATTTGGAAATTATATCGAAGTGATATAACAAATAAAATGAAGGTTACACTTTAATAACTGTAAAGTCAAACAACTATTGCCGTGCGTCGTTAGAAACCTCGGCAAATATTTGCCTATATCAGCATTTACTATACTAGCGGGACAAGTGAATGAATCGAACGGTTTTTTGAAATTTTTGACGGTCTATTTTTATTTGCAACTCTCGCAACTTCGCTAATAGAACGGACTGAAATAAAATAAATGCTCCTCGGCCTTAGAATAGCCAGATCTTGGCACCAGAACTGTATTAATGTTGCTCGCTGGAGATGATTTTACTCTGCTAATCCAGACGAAAGGATTCTTACGACAGCTTGAACAAAACAGCACGTTGTAAAACCCAAATAGTCGTCTGGTGGATACTTGATTACTTTTCCACTATTTTTGTCTGCAGAGCCATTAGTTTTTTTTTCGAAACTTCAGTTAACATTTTATGAATGCCATTTGTGCAAAGTTGGCTATGACAACAAATGAACGGAGATTATAGTTCTGAGAATAACATTGCAAAGCAAGCTATGTTTAATTTGTAATTTGTATAAGTTATTTCCTTTTCTTTCATTATTTGATATCATATAGGTACTTATCTACACACATTTCCTTTTTAGATATCTACGTACACAAAGTAAAACAAACATGAATAATACTAGTTATAGCATTACGAATTAGTAATAAGAATAAAAAGCCTCATGATTATTGCATATAGTAATATACCTACTTGGACAAATAATTTACTGATAAGTTTCTCTAGATACTAGTTAGGTACCAGTCCAGTACCTATAGGTAAATTTTACGATTTTCGTCTAATGAAAATGAATAGTTTTACATTTGTAACTAATGAAAGTTAATTGTAATCGTCATAGTGTTATAATGTAATTAGTGCTTTGTAATTGTAATAATGCAGTGGGTATTTAAAACTGTTGAATAGGCGATTGGAGTTTTACTAGGTACGTAAATGATTTTTTATGGTTTTCTATATCCATAAAACCCAAAAGCTCTTAATAGATTCTACGTTTTGAAATATTTATAACATTTTAAATACCTATTTATTGCTAAAATTTAATATTCTCAAACATAAGGAGATTTACATTTACATTTAAAGGATTTTATATGCAAATCTATCTACTATTAAGATTTATTACTATGAAGCTGCCTCAATTTTATTATGTTGATTCTGGATCATTTTAATATTTATTAATATTCAAAATTGAACTGGTTGCTAACAAACAATTGGCTTGAGTTGTTAGAAAGGAATTATTTGTAGTGTTACCTATTGCTATTTTTCGAGCTTTTTTCTATATTTATTTGGGTAGATACCGAGGTAGATACTTACTTATCAAAATTATAAAATTAATGAAATAAACTTTTGTGCCAAAGGACCGGAGTTATTTTTATTAAACTAGTTTTGCCCAACTAACAATACCAGATAGCAAATAAAAAACTAGGTACAGGATGATTCACTATATTTTGACCCCCCTCCATTAACTTTTTTGTTTTAAGCGTTATAAAAAAATGTGAAATACAAAAGTTACACGATTTTTTATGAAATTTTCGAAAATGGTAGTGGAAAAACAAATGAAGTCCAATCAAATTGGCCGCAGTTGCAAACTTTGCTAATTTAAATGGAACACCTTGTATATTTTTACATATTTGGATAGAATATGTAAAAATGTCGAGCATAGTCATATAGGGTTTGTTGGGTCCATCTCTAAAAATAAACGAGATAATATTAAAAAACGAAAAGAAGATTTTATCTTGTATAATTGTTAGACCTCTTTCAGGCATTTCTGCCTTTTTTCCAATTACGTAAGGATTTAGATTTAATTGCAATTTATTTTGACCTATGGGATATTGATATAGTCCAAAATGCGTTTAGGTATTTTAACTAAATCGCACTAATTAGTCCGTGAGGGGCTTATTTACTCATGGACAATGTTATATGGTAGGCCGTGACAGTGACAGGTAATATTATGAGAACATTGTTATTGTTTGACAGTTTGTATTATTATTTATTTAAAATGGGTTACACAGAAGTAGCAAATTGAAATATTATAGGAATTATATTATAGGAAAATAGAGTAAGTTATTCTCCATTTTAATTCATAATAATATTTCAATTTTCTTCTTCTTTGTGGGGGGGGGGTCAAAATATAGTGAATCACCCTGTACTATATCACATACGTGTGTTGTTAACGTTTCGAAAATTCATGTGAACGTTTCGTTTTTAATTAGTTTAAATTTGTCTGTAAATCAGCTTTCATAGCTCCCGCAGAAGTGTGAGATTTTTGGTTGAGCAAAACTATAGGTAGTTTCATGAAAATAACCACGAAAATAACCTTTGATCTTTTTGGTACAACGGTTTATTTCAATAATTTTTTTCACAGGTAGAAAAATACCCGAATAAATGTAGAAAATAACTGAAACCACAGCATATGTAAAGCAGCAAATTCAAATGATTCTAAGACAAACTACGCCCCTTTAGTTCAGATAGTTTGGAACATGATTGATAAATTTATATTTTTAGCTCCAAATTCTTACTCAATTTGAAGTACGTCTTATATTTCTCATTTGAGCGTATTTTATCACTCCCTGCTGGGATTGGTGAGAGCATTTGAAAGGGAGAGCATACGGCAAGTCGAATTTGTATTATTTTTTCTCACTTTTAGGCATTTGCCTATTTTTACTCAAATGACTCAATTTTTTAAACACTCGCAACACATTTCTTTGGGTGGTACCAATTTCTATGGTACTTTTCAAGCCGCTATAATGGGTTCGGCATTTTGGATTTAAGAATTTTCAAATTAAAACCTTATATTCTTGCTTAGCGACTTTGAAAATCACCGAGGTTCAGCCATAATCTTCAAATTTTGAATGCCTTTCCGATTTTTCCATCCGCCATATCCGATCCTCCATCTTTTATTGCCGAATTTTCGGATTCGGACTTCAGATTGGTAATCAGTGACCCCAAAAACTCGCGATTACAAAATTCAGGCAAAAATGAATCTTTGATCTTAGGTGTGGGATTACTCCCTCGTAGGGATGGATTTGAATTTAATTTGCATATAAGTATTTATCTCCAATGCTCAAAATTTTATTTTAAAACGTTTTCTCAAAGGAGCCAAATCTTTCGAAGTGGCGCTTGGGTAACTGGCCACAATATTTAGAAAATGAAAGCCGTCAAGTGTTGATTTTTTTTTATTTCCTTGTTAACCTATCAATATATAAATAATTTTACTAAATACAAATGGTCAAAAATTGGGAATAGGTATTTAGTTAATAATAATTTACCTAGATATTTAGAAAAGACAATATTAGTAGAAGTAGTTTTAAAAACACGGTATTTTTAATAATTAGTCATAGCGATTTACTGTGTAATAAAATTTGGTTTAATAGCGTACCTATTACTTATTTGTGAAAAATTAAAATACACAAAAATTATTTAAAAAAAAATAAAATAAAAATGATGAGCGAGACGATTTTTTTGAGAATTATTGTAAGAAAAAAATTTACTCTTTCAAAGAGCACATTTTTGGTTTAAAAATTAAACAAACTCAATCTAAAAATGCATTATTTTTATATTTTTTTTACCTACATAAAACTACAAAGACGAACAAGATGAAAAAAAAATTATATCTTTAGTTGCCAAGTTACAGGTATACCAAAGTTTTTTACCCAAAATACTTATTTAAATCCCCACAACTCTTGAGGGGTTGAAATAAATATTTAAAAAAATTTATGAAAGCTGCTCTAAACGGTACTAAATAATTCCAAAAAATCAGGAAAATTAAAAATGGTCGGATCACGACCTCAGTGGTCGGAATGGCTCATATATTTTTAGTTACTTGAGACGTTAATCTGGTCTATAATATTTTGTGGCTTGCTATTATTAAGCCTTAAAATTGACCAATAATTTGGACACTTTATTGAAACACGTAAGAAGTGCCACAAAAGTAATGAACTGTGAAGGCCTCTTGACAAATATCCTGAAAAATTGGTAAACGTAAAACTGGTTTAAAATTTTAATATCCAGCCCGTAGACAGAAAAAAAGGATATGACGGGGCATGTCCAACTTCTCACTTCACACCTCGTTAACAAAAGATAACGATTGGGGCTTATTTAATTAACAGCAACCAAGGGAGTTATTTTCGTCCTACAAATAGACGACAAGTCCTTAAATTCGTCGTCTTAATACGAACACAACACATCTACAAAGCATGCCGTTTCGTGGGCATTCCGGTTTACTCAGTCCTTCCTAAAAATTATAAATAGACCTGTTTTCTCTAGGAGTCCGATTGGAACATTGACGTTTGCCAGGAAAATTCCGTATATTTGCAGTAATCGACGATATCGCTGTACATTAGTACAGTCTTTATAATTTAACGTTGATTTTGGAAAGGACCTCGCATGGTCTTTATGAAAATGTGGGCTCGGTCAAATTGGCTGTGAGTAGAATATTGCAATAAAAACAGTAACTTTTGTAAAATGTTTATAGAAAAAATTTATCGGATGACTTCGAAAAGTTGCTAATTAACACAAAACCAACAACTTACCACAACTT